CGATAACCTAACTATGCTGGCACCCTGATCTTAGAATTCTGGTCTCTAGAGCTGTGAGAAATAAATGTTTATTGTTTAAGTCTCCTCTAGCACTCTGTTACAGCAGCTCTAACAGACTAAAGCACATGCCTTATTTTCCAGATGGACTTTATGATGCTGCATACTCCCTCATTACCACTATTAAGACTTGCTCATTGGTCTTCTTCTTTCTTCCTAAATGGGGATGCTCCCTCTTCTTTGTCTTTCTCATTTCTCTCTGAGGTAGTAGTCTTTCTTTAAGTGATCCCATCTACTCACATAAATTAAAACAGCACTTCTTGGAAAATGCCTCCGAAAACTACACAGACATATCTTGGAGATAATGCAGGTTCAGTTCCAGACACCCTGCAATAAAGCAAATATAACAATAAAGTGAACCACACAATTTTTCTGGGTTCCTAGTGGATATAAAAGTTATGTTTTTGCTATACCATAATCTATTAAGTATACAATAGCATTTTGTCTACAGCAGTGGTTCTCAACCTTCTGGCCCTTTAAATACAGTTCCTCATGTTGTGACCCAACCATAAAATTATTTTCATTGCTACTTCATAACTGTAATGTTGCTACTGTTATGAATCATAATGTAAATATCTGATATTCAGGATGGTCTTAGGCGACCCCTGTGAAAGGGTCGTTCGGCCCCCAAAGGGGTCGCGACCCACAGGTTGAGAACCGCTGGTCTACAGAAAACAATGTATACACCTGAATTTTAAAATATTGCTAAAATATGCTAACTAAGCATCACCTGAGCCTGTGAGAAAATGGCTGATAGACTTACTTGATGCAGGGTTGCAACAAACCTTCAATTTATAAAAAACACAAGATCTGTGAAGTACAGTAAATAAAGCATAAGCATAATAAAACAAGGTATGCTAATGCCTGTATTACAGCATTGACCTGTCTTAGATCTGCACACTTTTCCCCTCCCTAGTAGTTCTTTGTAGTTCACTCTTTCCTCACTGGTCATGAAGAATACCATACCTTCCGAGCAGGTTGTTCCAACTCCCAGATTTCCTCCTCATAATTCATACATGTGTAGATAAATTTATTACTGACAGGTTATTTTTCAAGTTTTCATGTTTAAATACTCTCAGTAGCAACTATGCCTATTAAAGTAAACCTAGCCAGAGCTTTGCTTTTAAGATACTCTACAATGTGGGTATGCCATATCTTCTTAGGGTTATTCTTCTAAAACACTCTACAAAGTTCTTATGCTACAGATAAAACTGACAGCTCATGGTTCCATGAATATGCTTTGTACATTCTTGTCTCCATTTCAATAAGCTGACATGCAAACATGGTAAATAGTAGATTGTGTTAAAAATGGATACCAGTGGGTTTAAACATATGAGTTGAATTCATATCTCTTCCTAATCTGTCTCTTAATATAGGTTAAAAAAAAAGTTGAGTGGGGAGATATAGATCTTTAATTACAAGTTATTTGTCTTTGACTATAATCTGATTATTTTCTCTATATATATCTTTTCTCCCAAAGAAGACTATAAACTCTTTGGGACATCATATGACTTATTCTTTATATTTTTCAAAATATGAAGAGCACATAAAAATATTCACCATGGAGACCCAGTGCCAGCAGCAAACAGAGCCAGGTGGCGGAGCTCTCAGGTAAGTAGCCCAGCAGGTGCTGCTAGCACACGGGGTCCCCTCCAGGCTCAAGCCCCCCACTTCTTCCCCACCCACCCAACCCTGCCCTCTGTCCTCAGGTCCCCGGCTGCCACCCAGGACCCTTCTCAGCACCCTCAGTGATGCCTCTTCACCATGTCTTGGCCCAGTGTGGCCCCCTCATACCCAGTCCAAGGGGGCTTGTCTGAGTCCCCTCCCCTGGCCTGAGCCCCCATGGCCAGGTCCCCGCTGCCACCCAGGACCCTTCTCAGCACCCTCAGTGATGCCTCTTCACCATGTCTCGGCCCCGTGTGGCCCCCTCATATCCAGTCCAAGGGGGCTTGTCTGAGTCCCCTCCCCTTGCCTGAGCCCCCATGGCGGGCACTGCGGCAGCGGGCTGGAGGCGCCCACAGCGGGTGAGCATGCAGGAGCACATGGCCATCGATGTGAACCCGGGACCCATCCAGCCCATCCCCCTCATTTCTGACTACTTCCGCATTTCTACCCCTTTGCTGAGCCTGCCCGGGGTGCCCCAGACCCACACCCTGCAGTGTCTCTCGCCAGCTCTGCACCCCAGCCGCAGCCAGACCCAGAGCCAGAGGGAGACTCTGACGACAGCGGTGAGTGGGAGCAGGGGATGAGGACACCCTGGGCCCAGCCCAGCCAGGATGGGGTCTCAGGCATCCTGGGCATCTGACCTGTGAGGGCCAGGGCAGGAGGCATGGTGCCACAGTGGCAGGGTGCCAGAGGAACTGACCTGCGTGCCACCTGTCCTTAGCTACCCTGGGCACCCTCGAGTTCACACTTCTTTTTGATGTGGACAACAGCACCTTGCACTGCACGGCTCACCGTGCCAAGGTAAGGATGGGCGGGGGTCCCTGAGCCGTGGGCCTGGGCCACAGGCCTGCCCCATATCTGTTGTTTCTTCCCAGGGCCTCAAGCCACCAGCCTCAGGCTCCCTGGACACCTATGTCAAAGCCAATCTGCTGCCAGGGGCCAGCAAGGTGAGGGCAAGACCCAGGTTCCTGCTGCTGCCCCTCAGCCACACACCCACCCTTCCTGGCCGGATCCTCCCCACAAGGCCTGGGCATCAGGCTGCACAACTGGGGGTTCTATCGAGGAGGTGGCCAGGGTAGGGCCCTGGGGCCGAGGAGGCCCTGACCCTCCCTGCCTGGCCCTCAGGCCAGCCAGCTGAGGACACGCACAATTCGGGGCACAAGGGGGCCTGTCTGGGAAGAGACACTCACTATCACAGCTTCACCCACCAGGACGCTGGGCGAAAGACCCTGTGGTGAGGCTTGAGGCTGGGCCCCGAGTGAACAGGATGGAGTGGGGCTTGCCTGCCCAGGTCTGACTTGGGTGGCCACCAGGTTGTGTGTGTGTGTGAGGAGCTGCGGGTGCCCCTGAGGAAGTTGGTGCCCAACCGAGCCAGGAGCTTCAGTGTGTGTCTGGAGAAGCGGAGGCTGGTGAGTCGGGTGGCGCACAAGGTGGGGCTTTGGGGTCCTGCAATCTTGTGATGGGGGAGCTGAAGGGGGGGGCAGGGAGGGAAACTTGGGTAGTGTCCGGCCAAGGTGACCAGGCTCTCTGCTCTTTCAGACCAAGAGGCCGGAGCGCCTGGACACATCCCTGGGCATGTCCCTGTATGAGGTGCGTGGGACAGTGGAACTGAGCAGGATGTGAAGGGGACAGGCCTGGGGTACACGGGCATCAGGCAGATGGGGAGGTGGGCTTGGAGACACTGAGGCCAACCTCCATATGTTCTGCGAGTGCTCGGAGCCCTGGGGGGCAGCTAGGCCAGAGGATGTGTGGGGCACTGGGATACGCAAAGCCCGCAGGGGCAGAGACCCAGGCCACCTGGAGGCAGGTGCTGAAACTGATGGGGTTTGTCTGTGGCCAGAGCAGCTGGGAGGGCAGGAGAGAATGGACAGGTGGGGCTCACTGTCTGCTCCCAGGGATCAATGTGGATGCCACTCCTGGGGCTGGTAGCCTGCCGGAAGCTGGTCTACCCTTGCTGCTTGACACAGTCGCTGCAGGGAAGAAACATCTGCACAGCTTATGTTTCAAGGCACCTGGCGTATATGGCATATGTTTGCTCCCCCTCTTAACGCTGTGTTTTAAACAGGACCACCTCCCCGAGAAAGGTTGTTTCCCCAGGTGAGGATTTTCCCCTGGAGTTAGGGAGGGAATAAAACCCCTTAACTAAGTGCCAGGCGGGTAATTAATCACTTTAACTATGAACAATCACGCTTAAGCTACATAATCTTTACTCCCTGGAATGGAGATAAGAAACGCCCTAACCTTTGGAATAGAAATTGATAGGATTAAAATCAACTGGTATAAATACAGATGTAACAAGACAATAAAACACAGAACCTGGCTGGAGATCCTGGGTAGAGAACCTCGCTATGCTGATCAACTGAACGATGCTGTCTCCGTGTCATTCTTTCTTCGCTGACGCTGTCCACACCTTTGGGAACCCCTGGACCTGCTGGGGCTAGACCCCAACAGAGGGCGCCCAAACAGGATTCCCCTAGGTAACCCCCCTCCTCCCCCCCGCAATCGGGACGGATAGGACTCTACCGTAGGAAGAGGGTGGATAGTCTTCACCAACTCTGTCCACACCTTTGGGAACCCCTGGACCTGCTGGGGCAGGACCCCAACAGTAGCCCTAGACAAGGCCTTGTCAGGAGGCAGTGACAGTAACTGGAGGGGCCCCAGGGGAGACCAAAGACTAGGCCAGAACCCCTTTGGCCTGGGAGGGGCAGGGATGCTGCAAGGCTGAGGCAGGACTGGCCCAGGCCCCTCTCGGATGGAAGGTCCAGTGCTGCTGCCCTGCCCCCTAGTGGAGCCACAAGTTACTGCAGCTGATGCCTAAACAAGGCCAGGCAAGCCCCACCTCCTGGGGCTGGTAACAGGTGCCACTCACTTCCTGTCCCAATCACTGCAGTGCGGGGTGCACGGCAGGTGTGCACGGGACACTCCCATAGGAAGAACTAACTGCTAGCACGGTGGTTGGACTTCCTGCAAATCGACTCCTGTGTTAAGAAAGGGGGAAACAGCATTTCTCACGACTCAGCGGTTGGATACACAGACATTTTCGGAGCTGGAGCCGCCTGCGCCGGCGCCCTTTTGTGCCTGTGGAGAAAGAGGCTCCTGAGGCGTCTGGAAGTGGACGGAGATCACCCGTGAGAGGGCGGCGTTGGGTCCCAGGGGTTCCGCCCCCGCGTCGTCCCCCAACCCCCCTCCGTGGTCAGCATTTGGTGAGGCCGGAGCCCGGGAGAGGAAGCACAGTCGGGAGGGAGGCGGGGTGTCGAGAGTGGCTGCAGCTGGGCACAATGTCGGAGGCCGAGGCAGGTCCCGCTGGGGCCCGGGAGGATGCCTGTCGGGATTATCAGTCATCCCTCGAAGACCTGACCTTCAATAGCAAACCGTACATCAATATGCTGACCATTCTAGCCGAGGAGAACCTGCCCTTCGCCAAGGAGATCGTCTCTCTCATCGAGGCCCAAACCGCCAAGGCTCCATCCTCAGAGAAGCTTCCTGTTCTGTACCTTATGGATTCTATCGTGAAAAACGTCGGGCGAGAGTATCTCACTGCCTTTACTAAAAATCTAGTTGCAACATTTATTTGTGTGTTTGAAAAGGTGGATGAAAATACTAGAAAAAGTTTATTTAAATTACGTTCCACATGGGATAAGATATTCCCATTGAAGAAACTTTATGCCCTGGATGTCAGAGTCAATTCATTAGATCCTGCTTGGCCTATTCAACCTCTACCCCGCAATGTGAATACATCTAGCATCCATGTGAATCCTAAATTTTTAAATAAATCGCCTGAAGAGCCTTCAGCTGGAAAGATTCGCCAATCTGGATGTAAGCAGTCACATATGGAAGACTTTATGACACCTTCCAGAGAAGAAAGAAATGCTAAGAGAAGTACTGAACAGGATGTTCGAGATCCAAAGCGAATAAAAAAGACTGAAGAGGAACGACCGCAAGAAACTACAAGTCAGCATTCTACAAAGTCAGGCACTGAACCAAAGGAGAACGTGGAAAATTGGTCAAATTCCAAGTCTAACAAAAGATGGAAATCTGGTTGGGAAGAAAATAAAAGCTTGCAACAAGGTGACGACCATAGGGAAAGCTGGTCAAGCACTAAAGGAATTTTGTCACCTCGAGCCCCAAAACAACAGCATCGATTAAGTGTAGATGCCAATCTTCAGATTCCTAAAGAGTTAACTCTTGCAAGCAAAAGAGAATTACTTCAAAAGGTAGTTACTATGATCCCATGTATTCAATATTGTTTTTGTCTAAATATTTTGTAAGTACTTTTTATATTTAAAATACTTGATTTCTTTTTATCATCCCATGCAGACGAGTGAACGTTTAGCATCTGGTGAAATTACACAGGATGAGTTCCTTGTTGTGCATCAAATTCGACAGCTATTTCAGTATCAAGAAGGTGTACGAGAAGAGCAGAGGTCACCATTCAATGATCATTTTCCACTCAAGCGACCTAGATGTGAAGATGCAGATAAACCATTTGTAGATAACCCAGCATCACGATTCGTTGGCCTTGATACAAATCAGCGACTTATAGTGTTAGCTGAAGACAGACCATTATTTGATGGACCTAGTAGGCCATCAGTAACAAGAGATGGCCCAACCAAGATGATTTTTGAAGGACCTAGTAAATTAAGCCCTAGAATTGATGGACCTCCTGCACCAGGTTCTCTTCGATTTGATGGGTCACCTGGACAAATGGGGGGAGGTGGTCCTTTGAGATTTGAAGGACCACAAGGTCAGCTAGGAGGCGCATGTCCTTTGAGATTTGAAGGTCCTCCAGGACCAGTAGGGACACCTTTGCGGTTTGAAGGGCCAATTGGTCAAGCAGG